GGAACTGAAGGGAAGAAACAACCAAGGCCCAACATTACCCAAATTGCTCCTGCAGAAGCCTCCTCTGTCTCCCTGCCCCCCTGCCTCCTCCATACAAGATTAAGGGGTTTTATTTCCCTCTTGCTCAGCACTCTGCAACCCTGCATGCCCATAGCTATGGAGAACTGCAAGAGCAGGTTGTGGGGAGCAATAAAAATGAGAGTAGGTGAAGGGAAAAAAGGATGGAGGAAGTTTCTGTTGGGCACTGGCATGGATCTGACCTCAGGGTTATGCAGGATTTGTGGAGTTAGGTGAAAGAAGTAATAATAAATAATTCTTCTTGTGCGTAATTTTAGAAGCACATTACAGGGGTGAAGGCAAACATCACTGGCACATTTCATGACTGACACAAAAGTGAAATGACCTGCTCAAGGTCACAAACCAGTTGCAGGGCAAAAACTGGAGGCAAAAGCTCAGTTCCAGGGGTCTCATTAAGCAGACTGTGATTCCAGGCACCTGAGTGCAGCGTGCCCCAGGCAGCACAATACAAAGAAAGGCTGGTTTCTGGAGAGCCCTGAGCTGCCACCTTTTGAATTTCGCTTGTATTTTAAAACCTGCTTGCTCTTGCCCTGCTATTGATGTATGCACAAACAGCAGTTAACTCTGAAAATGTTGTCTGTGGGCTTTCTCACAGTCTGCCCCACTGGACTACACCACCTCACAACAGCTGGTAAAGAGGGAAGAAGTTTAAACCTGTTACAGTATCTGTCAATAACCAAAACTCTAAGATGTACTGTGTATTAATAAAAAACTCCATTCCTGTTGATGCTCCAGAACATCTATCCTGAACACATTTCCATGTGCACAGAAATACACAGAATTAAGACTGAAAATTTATTTTCCAAACAGAATTACAAAATTAAATTGGTATATACTTGCTTACGCTGACTACGCAGGCTTCGTACAGGCTACGCATCCTAACTCATATCTAATGCTAATACATCTCAGAAGAGCAAGAGAGAATGTGGTTGCTTCTCTTTTCAAAAACAGAAGAAAGGTGATTCAAAAAGATCAAAAGCTTGTACAATCCAGCAGGCAAGGAAAGCTATGAAGAACAGCGCTGAAGGGACTAACTGGCCCAGTCATAAGGATAACGCAGTACATTCACAAAAATCTCACTTTAGATAACTACTTTGCAACTAAGGCTAACTGTAACCGCATGGTAAGATACAAAGGGTAAACCGTTAAGCCCAGTTAGTCATTGGCAAAATGCCCAGGGACCTGGGCCGTGTCAGAGCTTCGCAGGCGCTGGACTTTTGCCTCACCTCCAAAGGTGCATTTTTTAGTGTTAAAATACAATTTCCTGACAGTTTGGTGGTGCCTTCTGCAGTGTCCTTAGAGGGTATTTTTTGTTAATCCAATTTGTATCGCAATACGCTAGACATATGGTCAGCCATGCAAGATGTGTAGTGCATTGCCTGGTGCTTTGGATTCATTTCTGTGGACATTTACTGGGAAACCATCTCAGGGAAAAAAACAAGGAAGAAAATACTTTCAGAACCTATTGAGCTATGCTAGATTTTCACGGTCTTTTTATTTTTAGGCTACTTTTCACTCATTCATCAGAAAAAGGCATTTTAGTAAAATAAATTGTTTGTATAAAACTTATCCTTTTATGTAAACATGCAGTTTAGATTGGCAAAATTTCAAATGCAGTTATGAAACCTTGAGATTATATGGCAACGTACCAATTCATTATTAATATCTCTGGGTAAAACCTGGGATTAGATCCTGGCCGTGGAATAAAACAGGCATGGGAACTAATGACAAATGTAAGGTATTTTTTGTAGTTTTTAACTTCACTGCTTGTATGCAGAATACTGGATACTTTGAAATGAAGACTCAAGGGCTGCATTTCCTTCCACTTTCTCCACCATCACATGTTGGTTTAAGCATTCCCTGAACGGTTTGTTAAGAACAAGCCCCACTGCTGTGACTGCCGGACTGGTGGGATTCAAGTCCTAACCCACTCAGCTTCAGGATCTGTTCAGTTGCCTCTCAGATGCCAATGGTCCCATTAGAAATTTGTTTTGACAGTAATGCAGTTTGCAATGAGGTAAATGGTTTACCTGGTGTGCCTGCTCAGAACAGAAAAGAAAAAAAATCTCTTACTTAATACAGTGCAACAGCTCTTTGCAGTGAGGAAGTCGAAACTCTCATTCTACCTAGAAACCCACTTTCAGATGCTGAGCTGTTAAGCACTCTGGATTTGTGTTCAGCAGAGTTTTAAAAAAGTTCACTTCAGCCTTCAGACCAGACCACAACAGTATCGACAACTGAACCTGTAACCTGCCTGCTTCCTGTAACTCCTCTGGCAGTCTCTATTAAATGCTGGACTGACCGCTTAGCGGATTTCCCAGATAGCAGGCCGCTCACATGGAAAATGCCATGATTTTACTGACAGCGGTGAGTACGCTCAGCCCTCACCCAAGTAAATGGGAGCTGAGCTGCTCAGTTCTCTGACCTTTCTGGCATGCTCAGCATCTCCCAGCAGCAAGATGGTGACTGTCACGAAAACTGCAATAGTTAGTCACTCCACAGGATTTAAGGTTTCTCTAGCACATGATGTTTGAACTTACACCTTTTTTGAACAATGGTTATTTGTTAAGAAGCAACAATGACTTGCTCAGTGCTGCATAAAATACAGTTCCCCTTGCATAAGGGGAACTTACTCTGTGAAAAACAGACTATGCAAAAAGACCTTCAGTGAAGACTGAGAGGAAAAAAAGAGGAGAAAACTGCGTCAGTTGTTATTACTTCCAAAGCATATTATAACAAGACATGTTATTATAACGTCTTATAATTATAAGCATATTATAACATTATAAGTATATTATAACAAGACATGTTATTATAAAATAACATGTTTTTGGAAGCTATTCAGATGAAGCCTGGGATTTGACCATGGCCACAGATGAAAACAGGCATGAGAAGTGAGGACACATGGCACACTTAGTCCTGGGGTTCTGCAACAAAGTGGGAAACAAATACAAAAGAAAAGGATGAGGCTGTGAAATTCCCTTTTGGTACTATGGGCAAAGGTATAAAGCAGGTATCTAAAGAGAGAAAGAAAGTATTGTAGGCATGCTCACATTAACAACATTGTGGTATGGGCAGATGACAGAAAAGTATGATGGGGAAACAGTAACGACTCAAAGAGGTTTAAAGCATCAAATAATTTTTATTTCTAACTGCGCAGAATTAAACGCTAATAAGGGTTGGCCTAACAGAATTGTTTTCCCCAGTAACTTCCTGATAAATACATTCCTGACATCAAAAAAGCCCCTAAACCATAACAATTAAAGGCATGAAAGCTAAAAGATGTTCCCACAGTAAACTCTAAGAAGTGCTGTAACAAACCAGCACTAAAATACACATAGAGTAGAGCATTAAAATACACAGGACTAGATTCATAATTAAACAGTATGTTATACAAAGCAGGAGAGTTTTTGTTTCTTATTTGCTGTCACACATTTTAAAAGGAGAACCATATTCAACATATTTGTGTATAGGAATTCAGCATCACTTTGAAGTATGTACCTTTCATTACTAAATTCTGGGCTTAGCCAGGTTTCTGACGGAAAAAAAGGCTTGTGTGATTAAACTGTGGGTATGTCTGGGTGCACCTGTCTACCTAATAACTTCTGACCCTGGTGACCGAAATCAGTACATTTCGAAAGCTGGGAGGACAGACTTCAAAAGTAATTAATTCCTCTCCCTGAAGTTTTATGAAAGCAGACAGTGGGGAGAGAAATTGATGCCCCGGATGGCTCAGCTATGGGAAACACTGCAGTAAGAGCTGTACTGGAAAATTCCTGCAGGACAGACACCACCAGCCAGACTGTGGCCTGCTCCTGGCAGGCAGCCTTGACACGGGTGCTATAGTGAGCTGCAGCAGATTCCCCAAGAAATTGAACTTTGGTCAGCTGCTCGTACTTCTCGCCAGCACCTGACGCAATCCAGGCAGCTGCTCAGCGTGTCCCTTGGCTGCAAGTGCTCTCCAGACGTGTCTGGAGTCCTTGTCACCATCTCCTGACTTCTGGTTCTTGCTGCTGGCCAGTCTGTCAAGTTTGCTTCAGATCTCTCTGCTCTTTTTCTTGGCCCTGTAGTGCTGACTCGCAGCCTGATTTTAGTTGTGCTCTTAACCAGCCTTCTCCTCTTCCTCTCAAATCTGGTACACTTCTGCCTCACTAGTTCGTTGACCTTCACTCAGATCCTAGCCATGTCTTTTCTTTCACTTGATCTCAGGCTTACCTGCCTCCTTGGGACAACCCATTCTGATCACAAAAATGGTTCTGACTCCACTGATTTCACCTGGCACCAACACTAGACCTGGCAAATCCATGCCCATGGCCTGTGTTTCGCCTCCTAAGCACCCAGCTGCCCACAGTCACTCACACATCACATTGGAGTGAGACTAACTGCATAAGGCGAGTCTCAAAACTCATTCTGAGAGCAGGTATAGCCTAAGACAGTGGTTTCAAAAGTCTTCTGGAGGATGTTAAAGTCTGTGCAGTTCAGCTACAAATCACAGGTCCATGAAACACAAATTCACAAAAAAAAAGGCCTTCTGTAGCTCCAGCCTCTGTGAAAAGTGCTGCTTTGCACTAACAAATTTTCAATACTGTGATTAACTTAGCACTGAATTGAACTGATAAAAGAAAACAAACACAATAGGAGGAACTTGAATGACATGATCGAAGTCCCTCAGGTTTCTGATTAATTGGCTCTGGCACCTAAGTAAACTACCAATTCCAGATTATACATAAATTATTAAAGTATTATGCAGTCACGTCAATAAATTAGTCCATGAGCAACATAAAATACTGCTCAGGGAAAAGGTTTTCACTAGCCAGTTGCATTGCTGAGTATGCAGGAACATTTCTGCAGTATGTTTCAGAAAACCAGTGTGGGAGGAAATAAAACCATCTCTCGTGTTAGGATTGTGCTGGATCTGTAATCATGTTCATGCCAGCAAATAAAAAGCTCTTCCTGAATTAAAACCCTCATTTCATCATGGCACAAATCTAACAACTTATCTATTTCCCTTAACTCACTGTCATGTATTTTATTCATGTATTTTATAAGATTGTCACTCATAATTTGTTGGAATTTATTTGATGTGTTCTTAAAGGAAAGTAAGCTCAACACTGAAATTCATAGTGTGTCTAAATTCCAAACTTTAGTCAGCATTTTCTGTTACATGAGAGACACACAGCCAACAGGGCAGACCAGTTCTAAATCTCTATCCTGCTTACATCAGAAAGACATCAATTTTCAGGGACACCATGAAGAGAGATCACAAAGCCCAGCTCAGAATATGCTGTGGTTTCTCCTCTTGTACATACCTTCATTTTCAGTATTGGCTGGAACAGAATCAACGCCAAAGGGATGCCATGGCTGAAGGTCATCTAGGCTGAACTCTCCATCCACTGGAAGAAGTTCGACTGTGGTTTTAGTCTCTGTCAATGAAGGCATGAGAGCATCATTTCCATAGCTGATTCTGGGTTCGCTGATCATATTGGCCAAGACGTCATCAGAATAGTTTTGCTCTTTCTGAAGTAATTCATCTGCAAGGAAATTTCAACACAGAAACTGTCTGAAGGAGCTGGCATTTCTGAGGACCTATTTCCAATGATATTAAAGTAATAATTTGTTGTTACGAGATTTTGTTTTCTGATGATAAAGAAAAACATAAAGGACTGGAATAGTCCAAACTCTGTGATAAGAACTGTTGCTAAGTAAGGCATTTCTTTTGAAACATCAACCAGAATTGTTCAACATAATTTCCTACCCACATTTCTACCATATAACAGATTACAGGTCTGTGCTTTGTAAGTCTCTGGACTCTTCCCCACCACTTTTAAAAGAAGTACAGATCAACTCCCTTCAGTTCAACATGCTGCCATAAGTCAACATGCAAGAGGCCCACAGGAAATAATGTCTTTTTTATTTCCCTTTCCTCTTAAATGCTCACTATCAAAGCTTATTGTGGCTCTTAAATCCTACATCACCACAACAGTTACTGTATTAAATTGGGCTTACTATAATACACTGAGTCTGAACAAACGTTTGTTCTTTTAATATATATAACTTTGCCAAAATACTGAAGTAATTCTTTGCTAAAAATCTTAAGCAGTAATAGGCATCTGTAAGCAAATTATTTTACAAGCAACAAGGACCTAAAGCTGTGCAATATTATCTAGGTTGGTTTTTTCTTTGGACTTAAGCAAGGTAAGAACAATGAAAGCACTTTTCAGCTCTGTCAGGTGTATAGGTCAGACTCTCCAAGACAGTGTTGAAAGTAAGCTTGGAGGTTGTGGGTGCTTCGTGATTCCAGCTCAACACACAAAAGTTCTCTTCATCTTGCCCTTCACTGTAATTTTTTTCTTTTGTAGGAGCAACACACTACTTGCAAGCACTTTGAGGGAACATGGTGCACAAGAGCAATAACTAACTGCTTATAACGCATCAGTGTCGTTAGTACACAGGCATTACAGAGGTAAATAGTTCAGAAACAAAAACTGTAAAGGTTATGCAAGTGCTTGCACACATGAGCACACACATGACAGCTGATGATACAAAAGCTTTTATTTAAATTGTCTTCTCTTTTCACTTCGTCAAGGACCCCCCTCACTGTCACTGCTTCACACCCACATATGAAACCTGTAGCAATTCAGGGACAGGAATCACTGCTTTTGAATGTTATTTCCCTCCCAACCTTACACTGCACTGCATCACAACAGAAATACACTGTACCCATGCAGCTGCCCTCAGTGAGGATCTCCAGCAAGTCACGAGTGTTAGAGCTGACACTGCTTCAGTGCCTTTATCAGCACTGACATAGTAGGGCTCTGCTCTGCAATATGCCCCTTAAAAACAACCTCTTGGTGAGACAGTCAACGCAATTCTCTGCCACCCCATTACTACATCAAATTCAGAACACCAAGACATGAATTTTCCTGTTTAAATAGCAATTGCTTTAGTAGACAGTAAGCCTAATGTGTACACAAACTTTAATTCTGTGATTTAATTTATTCATTGGAATGACTTACTAAGACAGTATAGAAAGCCTATGTAACACTGACTTGTTTTTCCCTTCATGTTCACTTTATTGAAAACAATATTATTTAATAAGATACATAATAAATATTCAGCATGGAAAGCAAGTCCGATTTTTGTCTCCCCACTGCACTTACACAAATTCTTGATCAAATCAAAGCGTCTGCCTGTGTTAGAGGACAGACAGGTGAAGCACCTCGCCATTCAGAGCAGACACTATCACATGACAGATGTTGGTTTTCATTAGCTAGGGATGAAGAGACTTTACAAAAAAGGAGCTGAATGTCAGTGGCCTAAGCGAGATGTCTGGTGCCCAAGTGCCTTGCAGGGAGCCACAGGTCGTAACAGTTAAGTAGGTACCAAGTCATCATGGATCACAGGAAAATGAGTGTTACAGTAGCACCGAGCATCCCAGTGCCTGCAAGCCTTTCAGATGCAGGAACAGGAAGGGTTTTGGGGTGCAAATCCCCTCATTCCAGATGTCCTCTCTGTCCCCAGAGGATCGCATGGGGCAGCTGTGTAGAACTGCAGTCCATGCAGCAGTGGTAGGGAGCAGCGTTGGGGTGCCGTGCCCCAATCGCCCCTTTTCTCTGGGTGGTGCCAACTCTCCACAACTCCTGCCCATTCCCTGTCACTGATGCACTCTGTGTTACCTGCAGACAGCTCCTGACCTTGGAAAGGTACAGACGGTGTACAGAGGGTTAAGGAGCAGAGGGAGAAGGACCTGGCCGTCTCAGCAGCAGAGCAGCACTGAGGCTGGCATGGCACTTGGGGGGGAGGCCACGGCACAGGCATGACTGGGCTGATGGCAAGAGGCACCCAACTGCTATCACAATACCGCGATTATATCCAAATCCCTAGAGGCTGGGAGAGATGGGTACACAAAGTCTCTCTCTCAACAATACCCAAGTAGGAGCACGCCGTCGCTGGCGCTTGCAGGCCCCATTGTTTCCCACTCAGCTGCGGCACACAGCACTGACATTAACTGACTCGCACAATAGCTCAATGAGGCAGACAGATATCACAACCAGCAGATTATGATCACATCCATTTTACAAGCAGGGAAACAATGGCCAAAATGAATCAAGCCCATCTGACATGATGAATCAGACACTGAGCGATAGTGAGAAATTGGAAGTGCCTGGCTTAGAAACAGTGCTGGAGTCCATCAGGCTGAGGCAGATGTGTCTGCATTGAGTAAATGATTTGCAAACAATTGTTTCAATCTCTGAACTGCTAAAAAAGTTTGCCCTAGGATTTCCAGTTATCGACACTAGCTAGCAAAGCCCAAGATCAATTTCTCAGTGTTGATTTTGTTCCGAGTATTGATGGCCAGTTGAATCATCAGTTACGCTAATGCAGAGCCATACAGCCTTGCTGTTATCCATCGATACAGTATTCCCTCTCTTCTTCACGGCTGCCAACTCAATTCCCCCACCCTGCAAAAGACAATTCCCTAAATAAGCAAGGAGTACAGACACAGCTGGAGGCTGGGATGTGCACTCAAGACCGTTTCAGGGGTTTTCTTTTTGTGGTGAATATTTTCATTATTAGGTGCTAAAACAGAGTTTCTAGGCTGCTCTTCAAAATTTCATCGCCCGTCAAACCAACAGGACAAAAACTCCATGACAATTTTCCTAGAATAAACTTTTTGTTGCTTGACTCATTATCTCCGTTGTAGTGTTCTGCCAAGTCCTGCCATCAAGAAGAATAAGGAGGATGTCGAAACGTTTTGTCCCTCTGAGCGCATGTGCTCAAAAGCAACCATGAAAAACCCACACTCAGTTGGGACCTCAAATCTCCCAGCAGCTCTGGATTTGGTGTGAGGATACACAATTGCTGCTTCTCCTTCAGGCACCCAAACTCTTTCTTTCTCAGGATGAGAGACAGGCTCACTTCTGGTACTTCACTAAAACGCTTCTCAGACTTATCATCATCTCTAAGGAAGTTTCACTCATCCTTGGGCTCACTGCAGGCATTTCCCCATGGGTCACTACTACTCAGCAACAGCATCTAGAAAAATTGAAGTGAAATGTGTTTGGGGAACTAGATAAAAGGGTAACATCACTACAACTTCCTTTCAAGACTATTCTCTTATTCCACAAAGACACATATGGAGCCAAAAGCAAAGAAAAAGGAGAGAAAAAGAAATATAATTTATTATAAAGTCTACTGGTGGATGCTGGATTGTTAGAAGCCATTCATCCACAGTGGCCCTAGACCGCACTTCTACTTGTGAGGCTTTGCAAAGAGCACTGCACTGGCAAAGACATCGTGACAAATCCCAACAGAGGCGATGGAGTCTTAGAGTGACAAAAACCATGCTATTAGAAACTTTACCTACTTTTTCTTGGCATATAACACTGTTTCCAGTTTTGGACTCTGGGGCATATTTATCCCAGCCCGTAACTGGCACAGCTATAATGACAGAAATTTCAAGTGGAGCAGCTCCACTGGCTGCTCTGGAACGCCAGCAATCCATTAGTTGTCTTTCAAACCATTATTTTTATTTAGTTCACTATTTAAAATTTCAAAAAGTAATTATAATATTTGTTGTATTTTCTTTTCAAGGAGCCTATCTACAGATGAAAAGCTCTGCTATCACTATCACGTGCAAGACTTTTGAATCCACTTGAAAAGCAGCTTTAAAATTGGCAATTGTTATTTTGAAAGTTCTGTAAAGACATTTAAGCTCTTAAACCAGATTAGAAACAAAGTGCCCCCAAAATACTTCTTATAAATACTAATTAAGACACCATCAAATGACATGCCACACTTTTGACCCAACACCAAACTTCCTTTTTAAAATGACATCTTCATGACAGAATACATGTTGATTCAACAAGCACAGGTTTGGGAACCAGTTAAAATAAACTGGTACAAATGCAGAGTCCTATTGCCTCATATTCATCAACTTATCAGTCACCATCCAGTCTGAACTGGACATGTGCTTTTTCCTAGTGTTATGGGTGTGTTTGAGTACATGCTTTCAAAATTACAAAATTAAGAAGTGTCAGCAACCTCCTTATTCTTCTTAATGGCAGAAATTACAGAGTGCTTGAGTCATAGCAAACCCTTCATTTGCATGTGCACACGCATTACCTTATACCAGTTTGAAGACAGTTCAAATCATGCAAATGCTGCATGCCACAATTAGGATTCACTAAAAGCATTTACACAGTCATTTATTACAGTGCATGTGATAAGAAGTAACATGTTCAGATGCAGCTTTCAGTTGTACGCCTACTTTATGGGCTAATTCAGTATGTCACAGTTCGTGATCTTTAATATGAGCATGTGTCCAAAGGAGTTCCACTGATGTTATGCAGATAGGTTTTAGCTAAATTTGAATGCCTGCATCTTGTCAGCTGCATGAACCAGAACTCCCCCCCAAACTGGTAAATATGAAATCAAGACTTCCTTAAAGGCTTCGCTTTGGTGAATACTTTAAAACAACCCAAAGTATTTACCCATACATCTGCATTTATATTAGAGCTCTGACATAAAC